ATACTCAATTCTGAGGCCCGTACATGTACATACACACACCATGCCCCTCCCCCTCCCCCACTCCTGCAAGTGGCAGAAAGCATATCGCGCGCGCGCAATGCCCACAAGCAAGTCGAGGCGTTGCCGCCTCACGAGCGCTTGCGCAGGCGCGGACGACGCTGAGGCGCTTCTGGAATCCGTATCCCCATCTACCCTCCATCGAACACGGTACACCGCCGGCCCTTCGCCTCAACGCGTTCATCTCCGACCCGTGTCCCTGGCGTACGCAACGCCAAAACGTCGCTGTGCGCAAAAGCTGCGAGTGTTCGCCTGGCAAACGACGGGGTCCCAGTCCCCGACGCCGCGGTCTTTGCTCAACATAGCCTCACCATAGGCTCGCAAGCGGCGGCTGCGCCGGGGAGCCCGGGGCGTGGGCCAGGCCCTTGTCGCGGCACCAGGCTGCCGCCCTCGTCGTCGCACAGCTCTGCCCTCTCGTGCGTCAAATCGCTGGAAAACTTTTTGCATCCTGTCTCAGATCACGTCGGGCACGAGCATTCCGAAACATCTGGGCCTGGCGGGCACTCCGTCCTTGCCCTGCAGCGGGAACGGTACATAGACACCGGGTGGCAACGGCGACGACATCATCCCAATCCCAGTCCTGATTTCATCAGCCCTCGAATCCCACGTGGGAAAGTTGGCGCTGCTCCTGCACCCCGGACGCTGGGCTGATTGCGCCGTTCCGTAACCGGCTAGAGAGCCTTTGATCTGTTCATCTGATTTGAGGATCCAACGAGATTACCCTATGATCTTCTATATCCGAGACCCTCGAAGGGCTCAGCACCGTCATAATGGTTTCAATAGAGCGGTCCAACCTGTAGACCCTAAGCGGCGCCGGCGTAGGGCGGGGCACATGGCTTTGGATGCCGTGACTGTGATATGCAGACCGCCGACGTCAAACGCCACTTCATCGACCGGTGCTGCCGTCACGAACGCCAGCAGAAATTCGCCTTCCGCAACTCTTGCGTGCCCGCACGCCGAGTCAGCTCCCCGCGCATCTGGTGAGGTATTACCTACCCATCGCGCAATTACCACACGCTGTCCCAGCACCTCTATCATCAGCTTATCTCACGAGTAACGTTAACCGTCCCGGCGGCTGTGGCAAAAACGGTCCGAACGGAAGGGTGTGAGTCGATGCAAATTCCAGATCCAGTGTTCGCAGCGCAGTTGGGCAGCCGTGCCGCCGCTCTGTTCGTGCGATGATCAGCCGTCCAGACCAGATGCTCTGGAGCGGCACCAGGCCCGGGCCGGTGTTCCTAGGAGCAGTGGCCGTCCCCAGGACCAGCGGTCTTTGCGGTGAGTTGCACTGTGTGCACGTCGAACTTGACCGCCTCTGTGTCGTTGACCGGTGCTCGCTGTCGAGGCCATCGGGAAGTCCAGGCCGTCTGCACCGCGACTCATGGCCGGCTCTTGGCGTTTCCATGCGGCTTCGAAGGGTCCACTGGTGTGCGGGATCGACGGGTTTCAGTGTCGAGCAACGCCCGTCCGACCAATCGTTCGCGGACGCCGAAGGGTCTGTCCTTGTGGGGACGGCAGCGCAGACTTGCTTCCAGCACACGTCGCCTTCGTCAGGCCCGCGGTGCGTGGCTTGCTTGTTGGAGGCGAGGGTCCACAAAATGGCATGAACACCTCATTTCGCTGGACCGCCAGCTCGAGCCAGGGCCTCTCCACGAACCACGATCGCGGCAGCCGTGGCGTGTTCCGGAAAAGCACCAGGGCAATCATGGCTTTCCCGGAGCGGAAGAGCACGATCGCAGGCTAACTCGATGGAGATCCTGACGTGAGGTTTCCATCTCGCTGGAGGCACCGCCATCCCGAGCGCGTGGACAATGATAGCATCGTCAAATTAGCCGCACGCCTCACTCGCGGCGCAGCCACACGGGGGTGCGAGAGCGACCCAGAGCGGCGCCGTCTGGCCGCGGTGCTGCGGCCTGCGGCGGAAGGCCCGCCGTGGCTCTTATCGTTCGACCTGATCTCGCAGCGTCTTGTCACCACTGTGTCAGTGCTCCGAAGCAGGACCACGAGTCAAAGCCGTCCAAGCGTGGGGTGTTTTGATTCAGGTGCGGGCCGTCTGAAGAAAGCAGGGTCAGACCTTGGAAAGCCCACTCGAAGCGATGGAAGAGCCGATAGCTTCTACGCAATCTCGGCTGTCTGATAACGTCGATCTGTCTGGGGGGGCGCGCACACCGGGCGCACGGGCGCGAGGGAACTGGAAGGAGCTAAGGGAACCAGGTGCAGCTTCCCCGACGCCAGTGCTCTGGGAGGGCACCAGCGCGCGGGACAGGCTAATATGGATGGAGGCAAGCGCCAGGTCCCGCGGGCGCCGTGCTGAATCGCGAGAGGGTCCCGTCTCGGACCGACAACACCATTTGAGTTATCCACGCAGCGGACCTGCCTACGTCGCGAGTAATACCCTCCGGCACGCCGCAAGCCTGCGACCGCTGCCTGAGGCGTGAGAGCCGACTGAGGCGGCGGGTTGCTGAAACGGTCGCGCTGGGCGGCGAGCCGTGGTTGTTCCTGCGTCGTTCCTGCATTAGGTCGGCATCAGCAGTCATGTGGAGATAGAACCGCACAGCTGCCGATCGCGACGATTGGCTGGCATTAGCGACCAACGGCCGCCCTCAGCATCGGGGGCCCCCGGACGGGTCGGGCGGTCGGACCTGCGTTCTCGACGCGCAGCAGCCAGTGGCGGCGGGCGCTGGCAGTGATGAGAACAGAGCAGAATGACGGCCGGGGGGGCCGTGCGGCGCGGCGTCGTTGTGCATCGTAAGTGGTGCGTGCCCGCACCCGCTTGTCCCGATCCTGCCGCGCACCCGAGGTTGTGCATGCATTGGCTGCCGCCCGAACGGGAGCTGTTGGACGGCGCCCGGACCAAGAATAGCATCCCAGTACGAAGATTATGCCTGCGATTGCATGATCATCACGAGAATGGCACAGCTGAAGGCCTTACTTACGAGCGCGGCTGCACGCTGACGGCGGCGACGGGTGACGGGCGCGCAGTCGTCGGTAGGTGGAGGCAAAAACTTCTAGCGCGCGCGCGCGCGGGAGCGCGTTGTTGTGCGACGCGCGATAGCGGGCGCCTATCGCTGGCGGAGGCTGTCTCGTCGCCCATCACGCTGCCCACTTGTGGTGTTGAAACAGCCGGGCTGCGGGCAGCTCGAACGAGCCGAATGGCTCGCCAGAATCGCTCGAGAAGGCGCGTCGGGCAGAGCCTGCCCGGCCAGTCAGCGGGGCCGCCGACCCTCCACGAATGGCACAGCTGTCCTGCGTCGCACCACTTGCGGCAGCGTACCAGTCGACCCTTGAGAGACCCATGAGCTGCTCTTCCCCACACACCTGAAAACCAGTCGCCGCGGCGGGCGGCGGCGACGACAGCGCAGAGCCGGCCACTCTGCCAGCAACACGACGCCGCCGCCCAATGCTGCGCCGGCAGCTGTTCCTGCAGCAGCCTCGAGGCACCGGTCGCGCCGGCCGGGCGCTGCAGCAACACGGCGGGCGGGCTGAATGCCGCGATCGATGGCGTCGCATGAGACGTTCAGCCCAGGGCGTTTCAGCAAGACGGTGAAGCTGCGGGACCAGTGCCCGCGAGCCCGCTCGACAGCAATGACAGCGAGCGGGCGCACTGGGCGCAGGCGCTGCAGGCGCTGCAGGCGGCGACATCATAGTGCTGTCTTGCGTGGCACCCTGTACATCTGGATCTGGGATTCACCGGCAGCGCGAGAGGTGACGCTCAGGTGGGCAGACTCCACAAATGGCACTTCACATGCGGCCGGCCAAGCAGAAAATCAGGGTCGCACGTCTCGCGGCAACATATCGATTGCCCCCAGGCGGCGCGGGCTGATAGGCGGGCGCGACTCGGTCACACAGACTGAACGGCAGTGCTTCGCAGGCCGTCACACTGCGTGTATGGCCGCGGGCGGCGGGTCGCGGGCGCGCGAGGCCCAATGGGCGGCCCTCAGCGGCGCGCTCTCAGCTCGCCGCGCTGGGTGTGGCACGCGAGCGCGCAGCAGGCAGCGCGACTGGCTTTATGCAGCGCACTAGGGTTTCACGTATGGCCGCGGGCTTCGCGATGATGTGGGTGGTGCGCGGGTCGTAATCTCGCAGGCGGCGGGCGCGCGCCGCCATTCGCCCGGGGCGGGCGGGCTGTGAGGCAGAGGCCAGGGCGTCGCCGGCCAATATCTAGTGCTGCGACCAGGCATAAAAATATGCCTCTCGCTATGCCGCGCGGCCCTCGAGCCCACTCCGCGTGCGCCGTGCTGCGTGCGAGTCAGGGCCGTAACGCGCCTGTGCATTAGGGCCGCAGGGGTCGCGCCGCATGCACCGCTCCATGTCTCGATGGCTCCGCTGCTGCGCCTTCCCGACTTCCCCTCCCATGGTAGTTAACCATTTCCGCGTCCTCTGCCACTGTGCCTGGTCATCTTTTCTTCTTCAGACTTAATCGCCTGTCTCGTCCTTCGCTGATCACCCACCTACTTATCCACACCCACGCCCCATCCACTCGTTGCCCTTTCCTTGAACCCAGGGTTTATCAACTCTGTCCTTCGCACCTTTTCTTCCAGAACACTGCCGTTTATTACTTCGCTTTCCCCGATAGCTCTCGACCTTCTGTCTCTTGTGTAACAGTAGCCTCGATTGTTATCAGCCCTTCTTTTGGACACAACCTCTAGACCTAGTAGACAGCCTTCGGATATCCTCCCATTGCTGTTGTCCGTCACTCTCTCGAGCGAACCGCAGCGTTGATATTCGGCCCAAACACACACACACACCACCTCGACCACTCTGGACATCCTGTACCATCTACTACTCTAATACCTCGCGACACATCCCTTGGATCACCTGTAACAACAACAACAACAACATCTTAATTCCCGCCGCGCCCTTGTCTTGTCCGAGGTCAGTCGCGCCGTGTTGCTATTCTGGGCCTGGAATGAGGAGCTGACATTCCACGATAGAACACAGATACAATGGAGTCCCCGTTCGCACCACAGCCCCAGATGATGGGTCAATCGCCTTTCTTCTACTACAACCCGGATCCCAGCCCCGAGAACCGCCAGCACGGCCACTTCACACCACACCCGCATGGTCAGGCCTTCCCCGGCCAGCTGGGCTCCACTCCCGAGAGCATGCACATGTACACCTCCAACATGTGCTATGGCCGCCCCTCCTCCTCCAGCTCGCAGACCGCCTACGCCGCAAGGTCATACCCCGCGCAGATGATGACCCCGCTCGCCTCGCCCCAGCCCATCCACCAGAAGCCCACCCTCCTCATCCAGCAAGACGCGGCCTACCTGACTCCCCTGGAGTCTGAGTTCGACTTCCGCTTCCCGCCCGCCACGCCGCCGCTCTCTTCGTCGTGCAGCGCCATCTCCAGCCCGCCCTCGTCCATCTACGATGCGCTGCCCACCCCCGTCAACGGCACCTTCGAGTGCATGGAGGGCGTGAAGCAGGGCTGCGAGGAGGAGGTGTTCTCCGAGATCCTGGCTGGCGAGGAGTGGACCCGGTCGCAGTCGCCGCCGATGACGCCTGGTAAGTGCTTTTGCCTGTTTTTGTTGTGTGGTTAGAGTTTGGCGGTTCCGGCCGTTTGTCACGCGTTTGCTTTAGCCGCGAAGCGTGGACCCTGGCTAACCCGGGCGCAGTCTTCATCCAACCGCCTACCTCGCACCCGTGCCTGGACCAGCCCCAAACAACGTCCGCCGCCTCTTATCTGCTTTCGGCCACCTCGTGCCCTTCAATCTCGCCCTCGCCCTCGCCGCTGCCGCGCACCCCCATCGACAGCGAGGCCGACTTCTGCGACCCGCGCAACCTCACCGTCTCCTCCAACACCGACTTTGCTTGCCTTCCCACCCTGTGCTCCGGCGACGACGAGGAGCACAAGCTTATGCTCCGTGGCGACGCCTTCACCGCCCGCGCCGAGCAGCCTGCCGCCGACTTCACCTCCAACCCCCAACAGCTGACCTTCGAGCCCCTCTTCGAGCTCGACTCCGAGGACGACTTCAACGCTGTCCAGTTCCCCACTGCCGACAACACCGCCTTCCACAGCAACAAGCGCCAGCGCACCGGTTTCTCCTCGCTCTCGCTCGAGGACGACAACCTGGTCGACGAGGACAACTTCAGCGACTTCGGCGACGAGTTCGCTCACCACGGCCTCCCTACTCCTGACACCGACGGCTCCTTCTCCGACGACATGACCGAGGCCAAGAACAAGAGGCGCGCCAAGAGGCGCGCCGACGACTCCGACTCCGACTTCGTCATGGGCCGGTCTCACGCCAACCGCAGCAGCAAGGCGTCGGCCGCTCCTGCTTCCGAGTCCGGCTCTGGCGTCCCCTCGGCCTCTGAGGACAGCGTCACCCCCACCTCGCAGCCCGTCAGCCGCCGCGGCCGCAAGCAGTCGCTCACCGAGGATCCCTCCAAGACCTTCGTGTGCTCGCTTTGCTCTCGCCGCTTCCGCCGCCAGGAGCACCTCAAGCGTCACTACCGCTCCCTGCACACGCACGAGAAGCCCTTCGAGTGCACCGACTGCGGCAAGAAGTTCTCTCGCAGCGACAACCTCTCCCAGCACCAGCGCACCCACGGCACTGGCACCGTCACCCTCGGTGTCATGGACGAGTCTGAGCTCAGGAGGCAGAAGGAGTCGTCGGCCTCGTCGTACGACAGCCAAGATTCCAACGCCCTGGGTGCCGCGCTCTACAACGCCGTCGCCGCCGTGTCGAGCGGTTCGTCGACTGGTTCCATGTCTGACAACGACAAGAAGCAGAAGAAGAGGAAGCGGGACGAGTAAGGCGGCCTCTGGAAGGCACCGCAGACTCTTAATGAAGGACATGACAACCAAAAAAAAATAATCTCCTAACGGCAGGCGATTTCTCGTCTTCTGAACGACGTCACGCTGGGCGGCTCGGGAGACTTGGCGGGGCTTAAAAACTAAAATCGGGCTATTGGGAAGTACATCTGGGCGTGTGGAATGGTTTCCTCGACGTCAATACCACCTTTTCCACAGTCATCACTGGTAACGGCTGGCTGTTTTGGTGTTTAGCATCTTGCGAGTTTAGCGATCTGTTAGTTTTCAAGTTCTCTATCTGGCTGGGAAGGCTTTTCGGTTGGGATTATTGGGAAGGTGTGAAGGTGTTGGGATTTCTATTTGAGGAACTGACTACTGCTATCATGGTTGGGTGGGAGGGTTGCTTACTCTGCTCTCAAAAGTTTGAGCACGAGTGCTATTTGCTTGTTGCTGCTAGCGTTACTTGCTTGGCTGCCACTATTAGTTCCAGTTCCTCTCTTTTTACACACATTTTCTTGTCTCACCTTCTACTTTTCCTGTAATGTTGCGTTCCTCGGAGGGAAAAGGAGAGACAGTTGACCTCGTCTGCTCGTCCCATCTTTCGATTCTTCTCATAAGACACGCAACAACACCTCGAGTTTACCACACACTACCGTAATAATTCTCGCAAACCACCACTTAATTACACACCTCATCTCAAGATACCTCTTTTCTTGGACAGTCATTTTACAGAGAGACCTTAATCATAATTACCATAATAAGATGTCATCTGCCGAAGTGCTTTTCGATCGAAGGGATCTTTCTTGCCGTCTTTGTCACGAGTATGGCGGTGTGTGTGTTGCAAGGCCGGCCCTTCTCTCGCCTGCTTTCTCTCGTTCTGCTGCGGGTGTGGTACGTTGGGCGCATGAACGAGCCCGCCATAGCTATCTAATCGAAACGAGGAAGACTTCAAAGCAAACGCACGAGACCTGTGTGTGTGTGGCAAAACGCGTTTTACCTCTGTTTGTCTGACCGCCGAAGTGAGTACGCGTGTGTGTAACCGTGGTTACATTCTTCATCAATACCCTGGGTCGAGCCAACTCGCGTCCCAAGCTTTTTCTCGTCATTCAACAAAGCTCCTCCCCGCGGCCGCAAAAAAAGCAAAAATGAAAACAACAGAGGTCGACTGACGAGCGAGTGCTTGGAGTGGTGTCACTCGGTGCGCTCGCAACTGATGAGCGGACGGGTGCCCAATGGCCGGTTGTGAGGGAAATTGGGCTGGGGGGGGTCCTGCGTTTCGGAAGATATGGGCCACTACACGGACCCTGCAGGTTGGGAAAAAAGAGGGCACGTCATGCGTCTTTTTTTCTGAGTGGTTCGTTTAACGGCAAGAGCAGAAGTCTGCTCGAGCAAGCCAGGCCCCAAGTCCACAGACCGGGCTAGCCAGCTCGCCCGTCCCCCTCCCCTTCACGGGCGCCCAGCCCTGTTGTAGGGCCAACCCGCGGGTGGAGATGAATTGGCGTCCGTGTGCGGTGTTGGTATGATGAAAGTGGGGTAGGGTGATAGCGCGCACGCGGTGAGATGATCGAGATAGGCAGGGTACCAACGGGCGTGGCCTGGGAACCGGTCAAGGAGCGGTCTTTGGGG